TATTGGTGAAAATATATGAATGAATTACCTTTTAGCAATTAACCAGAAATCATTGTTTGAAGCTTTTTATGTGTTTGCCCTCTTTATATTTTTGTTTTGTTGCTTTCCATTGATCATTTCAAAAAAGTTGGAATTATTGTCCCCTGCATATATGGAAAAAAAAATGTTAGATGGAAAATCATACACATGTTAACTATTCTCTGATGAAGTTGTTTATTTCTTAGCCTTTTTAAGCACCAGTACATGTGATTGTCATGCTTTTAAGTAGATTAAAACTGTAAATTTATGATATAATATTACTGTCAATGTTAAAAAACGCTTATTAAACAGAAATAATGTTCACACTACACAAAACCTTCAAAATTTTAAAAATTAATTAATACCAGAATCTAAACATTTGAAATATAGAATGTTTTGTGGCTGTCAGTAATGCAAAACGCATAAAACTACAATCTGAGTATATATCCATAGCAAACTTACAGTTCAAAATAATAATATGCAGTAATAGATTAATATTCCATATACAGAATAAATGGTTTTAAGCATATGTATATGTCAGTATTGTTTAAAATGTATGCAATGTGTTATAACTGAAAACACTTATCTGTTGGTCTGTCTTCACATATTTTAGTCGCCTTCTTGATACCTGAAAAATGACCATAAAATGTTAGTCATGAAAACAGTACATATATACCTGTTTTTAGTTAAGATTTCTTCTAATGAGCATGTTTAAGACGATATATAGTATCAATATGTATTACATTATAATATTTTTTGTTAAAGATAAAATAAAATTTGAACTTACTACTGGAATCGTCAGTTCCTTTTATCTTCTCAGAGAAAAAATATAAAAAACTTTATAAAAACATAAAAATACATCATGTCGATACTTTTTCTGAGGTTAATTTCGAAAAATAGGTGTAAAAATTTAAATAAAAAAATATATATGAATATAATTATTAATTTCCGACTGTGACTTAATCTAACAAAAGAGGGCTTATTCGACCTCTTAAATCAAAAAAATATATAGAACTCGGTATCAGTCACCGATATCACATTAAATGAAACATCAAGAATGAAAAATACTTTAATCCGGACAATAATGCTCAAAATTTTAAACATAAGCAAAAAGGTTAATCCGACTTTGATTTATTATAACAAGAGGGTCTTAATCGACCGCTTAAGATCACAGTACGGTTGGTACCCGTCCGTCGGAATGTAAACCCAAACCGGAATCTGATAATATAAATATTAATATAAAAAATATTAATTAAATAAAACCCAAAAAAAAACATGGATATATTTACAGATCTAACATCTGTTTACGATTTTAATCGAATGAAAATTAAAAAAAAAAAACTATAAAAATAAAAAATTTGTAGATATACCAAGATATATAATGTAATCGACTGAAAACACTATAGATCTATACATATCTATTATGAAATCACGATTATAAGAAAAAAAGTTTCAAAAATAAAAAAAAATTACAAAAAAAATCTAGATCTGCAAAGATCTATATATGTTATCGCCCGATTTGTATCGAGATACTATGAATTAGTAAATCGGTGTTGTAAAATCGGGGCGATTTCACTTTGTCGTCTCCCTTTTCATTCGAAACAATCACGTCTCAGGTATTTTTCGGTATCCGCTCGAAAAACAGTGATGAATCGCCGGTAAAACATCGATTTTGGCAAAATTACCGGCGAAAACAGGTAGAACTTTTGTAGTAGAGAGATAAATTAGAGAGAGAAGCGGCGTAAGAAATAAGAGAGAGGCGAGAAAAAGGGCAGAAACTAGGGTTTGCTCTATTTAAATGAGTTGTCCAAACGCGTAGGGATTTAATGCCGCGTGTCGGCATTTAAGCTTGTGCTGGACATTTTTTTGAAACGTTGGGCTCATTTATGTGTAGCTATTTTTGTTTTAATGCATTGGGCTCATTTTTTTAAATTTATAAGAGCCCAGATACTTAGCAATATGATAATGAAGGCCCAGATGTTCTCCAACAACTTGTATTGTGTTTATACTTTAATAATTTCTGGCCCAATAATGTTTATAACATGATATATAGTACACATATAATTATTACAAATATTGACTCAAAATCTAAGTTGTAGTACTAAATTTTTTTCATCTAAACAAGTAAAAATATTACATGTATATATCTATACAAAACTCTTATATTATAAACTTCAAATATTAAGTTTGACATAATTAAATTTACAGCTGTTGTAACTTAAATTCAACTATACTTATTTAATTATTGCAGGTTCATTATCGAATTTGTCTACGGTAACACCTTCGTTCCAAACAACAACAGCTCCTACTAATGTGTGTTCTATCATTCAAAAAACCGGTATGATTATATTTTCTGATTTGTTGTAAATCTTTTTGAAATGATAATTGTTTGTGTCATTACAAGAAATATTGTTATTGATATGTTGAATTTTAACCCGTGCAATCTTATATAAACTTTCATTTTAGGTATTCCAATCCTAAATTCACAGCGTTCGTCTCAAATTAGTTCCATATCACACCCTGCTAATGCTTCTTCGAGCGGTTCGGTTCCTTTTATTGACCTTACAATTGAGGATGATGAAAATGCGACACCGTCTTCGTTGGTTAACCATGTCAACAAAGGTAATCCTAAATTCATTATCAAATTATCTCACTTGATTTATTTTTTAACAAAATCTAAAATTTAGTTACTCATATATATTTACCTCCCGTATATTTTTTCAAGTTTCACCATCAAACTTGCCACCTCGGAAGAACGTAGGCGGTCGTCCGAGACTCGCCTTACGACCCATCACAAATGGTAATTCCAAATACACAATCAATTTACAATGGTTAATTTATGTGGAAAAAAAAAATTCTCTATATGTACATGTTATATCTTCAATGATTATACCAATTATGAGTTGTCCTGCAGTTTCATCTTTGAGCTTGCCACCTCAGACCAATGTAGGTGGTCGTCCGAGACTCCCAATCCCTCCTTCCATTACCATCAACAGATCCACATTATCTTCCGGTTCGTTGAACTCATCAATCAGAACTGCTAATTATTTTGTTTATGATATTTTTTTATTTAATTTTATTTTTGTTATGGTCTTCTTATGCATGACTATGTAGATTTAGAGAATATTTTACATCTGTAATTGATTTTAAATTTATTTTTAAATT